CGACGCGCGCTGTAAGGCCGCCGCTGCAAAGTCAAGGTTACTGGAGGAGCCGGCGAGAGGAGAGAGCACAGCACAACGGAGAGAATTAGTCCTCCAGCACCGCTCCTTCCTCCGCCCTTTATTACCAATGATTTACTCTGGCAGTGGAAGGATATAAAAGCTCAAGTATAGCCGCCACAATTATCGCCGAGTGAAAATGTAAAGGTTTGACTCACAATGTCGGCGGGCGATAAGAGCGCCCGTGTTCCTTCCGAACGCCGGCGTGTTTTTTACGGGGCCGCAAACAGCAGGCCGGCTCTGCGAGTCTGTAAACACGGCGGACTGTGGCGAGCTGCTCGGGCCCGGTGTTTGCCTTGGCACAGCCCGGCTCTGGCAGCATGTCGGCGGCACCACTTAATTACTGTTTACATGTAAATATTAAAATCAGACAAACAAACCCCACGGAAACGTCTCCAAAAGTACAGAAATACATATTCAGGGTCAACCTTATCTGTCCGCAACAGTTGCCCCGGCGTTCAGGTGCGAATTGTTTTGAATCGCAAATTTCTCCTCTCGCGCCGCATTGTACATAATCTTCATAATTGTTTAACGCCGTTTGTTGTCCAAGGGCATCCGGGGGAAAGCGTGTTCCCGAATATCTGCATAACAGCAGATGCTCGGATATGTAAAACGCACCTTGTGTTTTCTCAGAGATGAAGAAGGAGCAACAAAAAGAAGGTCATCGTTCCAAACGGGTTTTATCAGTGCGGGCTGATGGTTAATGTCTGCAGCCCGGACCGGGACAGATGATCGCTTTGATCGCAGACCTGCCCCGCGGCCCACATGCATATATATATATATATATATATATATATATATAAATATATATATATATATATATATATGGGCGCAGGTGCCTACCGTGCATCTCTGGTGCGGCTGAGTAAAGCACTTGTTCATTTGCAGCGAAGGGGAACATGAAACAGGCCTCAGCCTCCTGATGGACAGGCAGATTTCACCTTCGCCAGTGAATGATAATGCATTATTAAATTTGCCTCTCTGCTCACTAGATACACTTAGCTGACCACAGCATATTTATCTCCCCATCCGAGGCTCACGTCTTGGCAGGAGAGAGCATTCTGTCACTTTTGAGGCATTTCAAAGATTAAAAAGAACCTCTCTCTTTTCACCGTCCCTAAAAGCATTTCGCCCCCCCCCCCCCCCCCCCCCCGACGCACTCCGCCAACCCCCACCCCACCACCACCTTTCCAGTGAAATGTGATTAGCAGGGGATGGTGTCACGCAATGGAACATTCATGAGCGGGAGAACAAATATCCAAATGAACCCCCCTGTCCTCGAGGAATAGCCCCCTCTCTGCAGCATCAGCAGTCTCCCTCGCTCGCACGAGGGGGCCGCTGGAAATTTGATTGATCCTCTATTGAATTATTTTTTGCACTCTTTCATTTCAACGGGACTCACTGACAAGTTGTTTGATCATAAAGCATTATTGTCTGCCAAGTCACATTTCAGGGTTGTGATGGCTAATGATCTTGCCTCCCGACTTAAGGGAAAGTCAGGTAGTCAGCATGTGTTTGAAGCCTGCAAACGGCAAGGACACCAGCGGTGGGGGAGGCGGGGGGGTAACTGAGCAAAACACGGAGCGTTAAAGTCAGAAAGATGAAGAGAGCAGGAGCTCAACGTATGGAACTTTTCCTTAACGACACCGTCGACGTCGGTGAAATATTTACGGCCCTCGCGACTGATGCTTGAACTTCTACGGGACCCAAAGTCCTCTCGCTTCCTTTTTAGAGACGCAAAGCAGGATTAGAACAAAGACTACAAAGGACTGGAAATCACTTTTCATCACCCCCCCCCCCCCCCCCGCCCTCTGCAGAACCGTGTGCCCCTTCTCTCCTTGAGCCCATCCGTGTCCACAGGTCCTCCCAAAGCAGCTGTGAGTAGTAGACAACCTCCATCATCCGTACTTTGGACCAGCACAAACCCCCCAAACCCCCCAAACCCCCACATCCGCATCCGCTGGGCCCCGGCACGCTATCCTGATTCCTCCTGACAAAGAGGGGGGAGATGTGGAACATCTTCGTCCATCACAGGGATGCCGGCTTTGCTGCCTGTGATCTAGTCATCTACCGGGAAGGGGGGGGGACGGGACACTCGTTTGGGGGCGAAGAAATTAGTTTGTTGGCTAAATGCTCAAACCGCCACATGGTACCTGCAGAATCGTGGACGAACAGTACACGCTTATGGCCCGTGTTTCAAACCCCCCCCCTCCCCCCCCCTGAGGGACATACAATGATGTCAACTGTTTGATGTCCAAAGTGAGTTTATAGCCAAAGGCTTTCGTACCTTTCAAATCCCCCCCCCCCCCCCCCCCCCCCCGGCCCCCCCGTTTGTCAGCTACCTGCTGTTTGTCATGAGACAGAAGCCTGTCGGACGCAATCACTCACGTGTGAGCCACTAGTTCAGTGAGCTACTTCGCTGCCTGTTTTCCCTTTTCTTCTCCCTCCTCACACGCCGTCTTATCTCCGCTTTTTAACTTTAAAATTTGGACCACAAACAGTCGAGTTCCAACGAGGAGAAGAAAACCATCTGGTGGCTCTGAACTACGTGACACAACTTTGGAAATGCTCTTCTTCTTCAGCGGCAAACAGAAACAGCCTTTGTCCTTCATCGGCAGAGATGACATGAAAAACGCGGCGCGTGAGTGATGTGTGCGTTTGGGTGTCCGTCCATAAGGTGTCCGGCTTCTCCGACAGCTTCGCTACGAGCCGGGGGAGGGAGGGGAGGGAGGGGAGGGCTGCGTCCTTCCCCTGCGCTCCCTTCTTCTGAGAGTGCGTTGTGAGAGAGATTAATTTAATGCCCTGCCAGGATCATAAGGATCAAACAAGTGGAGAGATATCATTAAAGCATTGGAACGTTATCTCATTTATCTAAACAAACCGCCGCGGCGAAGCAGCCTAATTAAAAGAGCTCGCCGTAAACAAAAGCCTCGGCTTCAACAATGGAAACGCACTCATTTTATTAATCTAATGCATCATGTATCATATCATTACAGTTCAATATATCTATCATTAATTTTATTCCCTTCACTTAAAGCTTTTATTGGAATTACTTTGGTTATTAGTCGCTTTTAATGTATTGGTTACCTCTGGATCTGGCTGCTACAATCTCTCTTATCTCGCTGCATAAACCTGTGCATGTTATTCAAATTGCCTCATTTATTATGATAGCTTCCTCATGTAAATTGTGCTGACTGCTCGCCCTTGCACAGTCCTCATTAGACTAATGAAAACCTTCAAACGAAAAAACTAAACAACCTGCCAAATAAAGGTCTGGGGTTATTATGAAAATTACAACTGTGGGAGCCGGGAGAAGCTCTCTTCATTAATTCATGCTCAGCAAATTGGTAACTAATTTAGTTGCACTCCTCTGCATTAATGGGTTATTTTATAAAAATGTTTTCCTCAGCCCGAGACCTCTAGTGCGCACGCTGGAGAGAGCTCAGAATCCTAATCAAGTCCGGCGACATATTAGGAATTGACAATCTGGGAGAGCGCGCTTGTGGACGCGTGCGGCTCAACTGGGGGGAACTGGTGTGGATCGCCGGGTCATTTGCTTCCTCCTCTGACACTGCAAAGCAATGACAGACCAGTTGTGTTGAGCGTGTGCGCGTCCAGCAAGGCACTCGAGCTGAGGAGGAAGCGTCGTGCTAGTGGGGGGGGGAAAGCATCCGGCTGATTTAGTGTGAAATCTCCTCCTATCTCTGTTTGCATTGCTCTGTTTGCCCCTCTCTTCTTGTCTCACACACACACACACACACAAAAACAGCAAACGTGTTGATTTAATCAGTTAGAATTTAAGAACGGGGTGATTCGAACATTTACATCCAAGAGCTACCCTATTTTTTGTTATTCACTGCTTACACGTTTTCGACAGAAATGTCTAAAACTGGATCTAAACTCAGGCTGGTCAATGGAGAAAATCTCACTCACGTGATTTCCATAGTGGTTTTAATATCATTATCGGCCTCGCCCCACCCTGTGCCACCCCGCACAGCAGAGCAGAGCACATCACGGCCCGCCCCGCTCAAAACCAACAGAGAATACTCAAATCTATTATTTGCTTCACTTTGTATTTAATCCGCCACGCTTAGTAGATCTTTATCTTTTTTTTTTCTTCTCTGCCCTCTTTCTCTTTTTTTCACAAGCACGGCAAAATTGTATTGAAATAATTCCAGTAATTACTAATACAAACATTTACTCCGGCCCATGTGACTGAGGTTTAGTGTTTTGAATGTTTCCCTCTCGGTTCAGTTAATAAGTGTCAGCAAGTCTGTCCTCTTTCCCCATATTTATGCAAAAAATATTCACATACGCGAATAAACATCTAATTCTACAAACATTCAGCAGCAACGCTATTTGTGTAAAGAAACCTATAGCAGCTCTTTTTGCATCCCCCCCCCCCCCCAATTTGTCTTTTAACTGTGTGCGCACAGGACGCTGTTGACTGTAGCCGCAGTGAACAGTGTCCTATTACAGCACACTGCATGGCTGCATGGGAGCGTAAAATGACCCGAAAGTGATTACTGTTTGCAGAAAAGTGTTCAAAAACAATGCCTTTTATCTACAGGCCGTGCTCGTACCACGTGGAACATAAAACGTGTCGTGCTGTGAATGTACGGCGCATCTACAGCAGGTTAACACGGCGGCGGCGTGTTTCTGTGGGCATCCGGGCGATTAAACACATCCGACACAGATTCACACTTAAGTGCATCTCCGGTTTGCAGCCTGTAGTCGTCGGGTGTTTCATTAAACTGACACGAGCTACAACCTGGGTGAACAGAACGGGGAAGGAGGGGCGAGCCTGACTCTAATTGTGTCATAAAAAGGGATGCAGACGGTTTTCTAAAAAATGCTTTGCTGGGAACTTCGGCCTCCCGTTGGCACATGGACCAAATGTTGTGTCCGTCCTCCACGCGGCATGTGATGTGAACTTGCTTCACATTTTTCTGCACATCTGCAAACCTCTGGGGCCCATAAACTGATCAGATTCATTTGATATGCCGCTAAAATAAATCCAGTTTAGTAGAGCACAGTAGTCAGTCGCTTGTTTCTCAGAACATCTGTTGTTTTTCATACATTGTGCACAGTGAGTAGAAGGAAAGTTGTGAGCAGAAAGGAATCGACGTCCCCGTTCCGTCCCGCAGGACTCACCTTTGTCGGTGTGCATCCTCTTCATTTCGTGGCTCATGTCGTGGGCCAGGTCTCCCTCTTTGGGCCCGGGTGGGATGTTGGGGGACAGTCCCAGCAGGGCGTGGTTCATGGACAGGCCGTTGTGGTGCATCGCTGGAGAGGGAACGACAGAGACACGGGGGGACGGGGGGGGGGCGTTAGGAACATCGTCTCCAGCACGCCTCTCGTATATTGGACAAAAAAAAAAAGAATCTGCGCGGCGCATGTGCTTGTTTTCTTCACCATTTATCTTTGTGACAAACGTACGTATCCTGTCTGAGGAGCTCTCCCGTTTGCGCCGGCGAGCTGGACACGCTGCTGCTGCGGTGGGACGACGGGTGGCTGCCGGGCCTCCGGTGGTCTTCTAAGGAGGGAGCAGGGGAGGGACTGTCCGGCACCCGTTCCTGAAACCCCAGCAGCGCCAGAAACACACAACCCAAAAATGAATATCCAATGCGGCCCCAAGATGAAGACAAGGCGCCGCCGCAGGGCGCTGCGCTTCGGCGCCGGAGCTTCTGGGCCGCGTTAAACATTTACCTTTATAACAGAGGTGACCATTCTGGAGGGCAGACTCTGGCCCTGCGCCGCGGCCGCCATGTTCGCGATGGTGCTGAGGTGGTTCATCTGGCTCATCGCCATGGTGACGGAAGCCGGGGGCAGGCTGACGGGGATCAGGGGGTGTGGCATCATCATGAAGGGGAGTTCCAGGCCTGAAACCCAAAAGGGGAGGTCTGTTGGTTACTCAACAATGCATGTGATGAGTGGGACGTCCGCGGGGGAACCTCCTCAGGAGCCCCCCCCCAAAAAAGCTGCTGCAGTTTTAAGCACTAATTCCCACCACTGAGATCCCCTTTAAAAGCTCTGTCCAATAACACTGAAGCTTTACACTGTCTTCCATCAGGGGCAGTGAAAAAAGGGAATAATTTAAACCAATCGCTTCTCTGGAATATTTCCATGTTAACATAATACACATAAATGTTTTACAACATATGTTAATAATAGATTCTACTGCAATGATAATAGATAAAATGGAAATGATAACTATATACACACATTCAAAGACCAAAGTTTACAGAGCAATAAAGATGCATCTATTATGCCGCGACGAGTAAAACGAAAAAGGGCACATTATGGAAATTGTCTCAATATTTACATATAAAAAATATCTCAGTAAAAGCAAAGGCAATCTCCAAAGCCATTACCCAAATGACTAGTTAAATGAGCTAATGACAAACAAGTAGCAGTATGGCAATGACTTTAGGCTAATTACAGCAGCTTATATTCCACCGCAGTGAGAGCAGCAGAGGAAGAAGAAGAAGAGAGCGACACCAAAAAGAGTCGAACAATAATAGGATTTTAATTTCTTTCTTTTTTTCTTTTTAAAATACACACACAAATGATTCCATTACACCGTCAGAGATGTCTTACAAATGTTCTAAATTATTCAATTGCTGTCTGGCAACGGCCTCCTAATTGGGAAAATTGAAGACATTGGCGGGTCCAAAGATGCAGAGAACGCCTTATAAAGATACCATGGGGATGTGTGTGTGTGTGTGTGGGGGGGGGGAGGGTACTAACTATGACTGTGGCCCAGCAATACTGAATGGCTTAATGAAAACAAGGCCACTTTCAAAGGACCCAAGCGCAGACAGAAGGTCAAAACTAGGTGCTCGTAGTCCCCCCCCCCCCCCCCCCCCCCCCCCCCCCACCACACACAACCACGGCCCGACTCCATGGGGACTTTGAACTGGCAGGATCAAAAAGTGACTGGGAAACAGTTTGGTCTCATTCCTTCGCCACTCAGATGCTTTTCCTCAAATGCTTGAAAGGAAAAACCTCACAGACGCCATCGGATCTGATGGAGCCGCTCTGTTGATTTTTCTCTCCTTTATTCCTCTCTTTCCTGGCAGCCCGGTTCAAGGTAGAGAATAAACAAATAAAAGCCGGGCGAAAGAAAGAAAGAAAGACGCGGCGCTACGGCGACGCCTCCAAAGAGAAGGACACTGGTTGAAAATGAAAGGACATGAGAAGTACTCCTCTGCCCCCCCCCCCCCCCCCACACCCCGCTCCTTCTAAAAAAGCACCATTGATTTCCATAAGAAAGATGGCATGCCGCTCCTCCGTGGCGAGGATGCCCAAACAATACGGAGCGGTGGAGATTAAAGGGAGGCTGCAGCCAAGCAGCACCTTGTATCGGCGCCTCGGCCCGAATCAATTACCGCTCGGCAGGCTGAGCTCACTTAAAAAGCACCACAGAGGGGCCTGATTGCGGGGGTACTTACTGTAGGACGACACGGGGAGCTTTGGCCCACCTACCAGCCCTTCAGGGCGGGAGTGAAGGGGCTCGCTCCGCCGTTGCGGTGGAGGCGTTGCGCCCGCTCAGATACAGGATCTTCTGATCACGGGGTGATGTGGGTATGTGTCTCCAAATAAGAGAGGGGGGGTGGGCAGTGGACCCCTGTTAGCTTTAAATGCAATTAAGTCCGTCCCCTTTCATGCCACCCTGTCCTAAAGCGCTGCCCCCCCCGGGAAGGCCATTCAGGCCGCTGTGGGGGAATGCTTCACAGGCCCCTTTGTTAGTCGCTGAAAGGAGCCAGGTGAGGAGGATATTGGTTTATTCAAGGGACCCGCCGTTTTTAAGTGCCCCCCCCCCCCCCCAATCAAATGCCAATCCGTCCTATTTGCTGGTGTCGTATTCAGGCCTGAAGGATCTTCAACCCACTGATACCAGTTGAGAGTTCTTTTTCCCAACAAACGTTAGTCAGACTGAGTAATCGTGTAGGGTTAGGGTTAGGGTTAGGGTTAACCCAGTGGGCGAAGCGTGAGAAACGTTTGTGTCCGTTTGTGTTCATCTCCGCTACAGAGGTTCAGGCCTGATGAGAGGCACATTCCCACCGCCCCCCCCCCCCCTCCACCCCAAAACTCTCTCTCCTGAAGGCCATAAACAATGCATTCAGAGTAATTTACCTGAAGTGAGCCGGAGGGACCTGCAAAAGGTGAACTCCGATTTACCATCATTAAAACTACAAATCACTTAATAGCAATATGAGCAGCTCGGCTGTGGTGTCGAGTTCACGCGCCGATGAGCAAAGATCTGAATGGCACTGGACAAATTAAATGAATTGAAAACAGCCCACGGTAAAAGGCGTAATTTAAAAAAAAGCTGTTACATCAGAACCAAAACGGACAGCGGCTCAGACACTAGAAAGCGTCACGCAGTGAAAGAAAAAAAAAAGACTGAATGTTGAATGCTTTAAAAGGATAAAAGAGAGTTTGTAATTTATTTTGGGGGGCAGAAATGATAACCTGCAGTGTTTTCTGCTGCAGTTCATCTTCGTCTAAACGGGACTCGAGCCTTTCTGGACGTCTAACCCGGCGGACCAAAAACAAGGGAGGAATAAAGAAGAAAGGGGACTAAGCCGTTGTCATTGAAAACGGGATGGAGCCAGCAGCCCCCCCCCCCCCCCCCCCCCGCCCCCCGTACCCTTAACTCTGCTGTGGACAGATTTCCCCTGACAAAAATTAAACTAGCTCCTACTTGGCACTTTATTATCTCTTCAAGTGAATGATTTATTGTTTGTGCAGCGAAAGAACCAAAGAGAGGGGGAAGATTACACTTCCAGCCAAAGCTCAGGCCTGATGTCGTTTTTTACTCCCCATGTCCAGGGGAAAGAAAAGGGAAAAAAGGCTCCCGACAAACAATAACGTCAGCTGTAATTGATCGGAGGTCGCCGGCTGGGCCCTGCAGTAAAAGCGCACTATTTAAGCGACAATCGGCCCCGCGCTCTTCAGACGCTGGCTAATGAAGCTGTCTGTCTGGGCTATTTACCTTCTCTTAAATGGAAAGGGGAGAGATGTACTGTAAGAGACAGGGCTGGAGACGATGTGCCTCTCGCCGCCGTGAAATAGGACCTGCACATGCCGCGGGAATGTATAATTGGTTGGCGCAGCCGAAGCCGGGGACGGGCTGCTAATTAAATGACTTGTTTAAAGCCTATCTGTCTTTGTTTGGGAGGCTGCAGAACAATGTCAAACAAACACTCCTGCTTATCCTTTGATTGGAATTGAACGAGACAAAGGGCTGATTTGCTCGCCGCTAAGCCTTCCTCCTTCTGATCCGTCAGACTGAACGGGACCATAGCGGTCCGGCGGGCCCGACCGGCGGCCCCGTGCGTACGGGGGCGCGAGGCCCTCTGCAGAGCAATCTCAGGCTTCCTCCCTAATTGCGCTTGTAAAGTGCCCCCATGTCGCGCGCGCGCATTTCCTCCAGCGAAGGTGAGGCGGCGGCTCTTTGTTGTGGCGGTGGCGAGGCTTTTGGCACAGGGGTCCCCCCCCCGCCCCGGAAAAAGGAAATGAACCGCTCGTGAAACGGCGTCCTGTCACGCGGCAAGACGTTGAGGGGTCCCTCCGCCACGCTAATCGTCTTTACTACAACTATTAATCCCCCCCCCCCCAAAGAAAAAACAAAAATCAGAAAGCAACCCGCACGTGAGGTGGAGCGACGCCCTGCAGCCATTAGATCAAACGTGAGACGCGGCGTCCATAAACATGTTGTCTGGAAAACGGGCGCGCACTTAACGCCACGCATGCGCACAAACACACACAAACACACACACATGCAAACAAGGTAAAAAAAAAAAAAAAAGGTGCAGACACACGCAGATGGCAGGTTCAGTCAAGGCTGGTGAGTCCTGTTTCTCATTAAACCGGGGGGGGGTATCGCGCTTTGATGTAGCCACCCACAGCTCCTCAGTGTCACCCAATGCAACTTTGAAGCCCTCTTTTGTGTTTACGCAGCTAATGTTGATAATAAGGCAAACATCCTTGCCTTTGTTAAGTACCTGCTGCACGCTCGTGTACGCGCACAAAGGGGGGGGGGCGCGCCGGGAGGCGAGCTAACAAGGCGAGGAAGGCCTGGGAGACGTGGAGTGCATATGGGAATGTACACACACACACACACACACAGGCCAGCCATATGAATAAAAACCTAAAGAAACACATCCGCACACGACATCCATCAGAGCCACAGCGGTTGGACACATTTCAAGCCGTTGTCACACCGACGGGATAAAGAGACTCAGGTGGGCGAAGACGACCCGCCACGGCGCCTCCGGCCGCGTGACGCACAGGGAGCCGTGATGAGAAAACATCGGCGTTTTGACGAGGTAACATAATTGCTCCGAGGCGGCGGAGCGTAACATGTGCTAGGAATTACCGAGGAGACGGAACCGAGGTGTTTGTCCTTTGAGTGAATAAAAAGCTAAAGCGGGCAACTTCCTCGGGACGGCTCCCATCCCGCCTCTAATGGCACGCACTCCTTATGGAGATTGGAAGATCAATCATGTCCCCCCGTGACAGATCTGTTGCGAAGGAACTTCTTCCCGTCTTTCGAAAGGGGAGAAAAAATGCAAAAACGCGCCTCGCCGTCCGGCCCCCACCAGCCCCCATGTTTGAGCTGTCTATTTGTGTCTCTGCTGAAAATGTTAACGAACAGAGCCATAATCAAGCCATATGCTGCCATGTGGCAAATCCCATTACAGGGAATGACCTTTACCAACCCGTGCCAACAACACGCAGCGTATAGGGAGTGGGTGGGGGGGGGGGGGGCAGCAGTAGACAGGCAGTGGTGGGTCTGTAGATGCACATGGGTTGGGAGGGGGGGGGGGGTGGCTGGGCCTTCAGGAAACATTAGCAGGTTCGCCGTTCGTGC